AGACTTAATATTTTAGGATGTAACAACAAATTCTTGTTTACTTAAAAAAGATTATGCCAAAACCGCATGTAGGAGATAGGTGGTTTTAAATTTGTGATTACACGAGCATAAAATTTTCTACTTACTGTCCTCTACAAACTATACAGAAGTATAATATATAATATGTATATATTTTGTAAGATATATACTTGTATAATATATATTCTATAAACAGAATATTTGAGTTACTGTAGAGTATATTAATTATAGTGTATTTTTCATGTGAAAGTAACATGCGATTATTTTTGACCCATTTTAACTGGACGATAGGTAAATTTTGCAGTTAGGTGTACTTTCTGTGGCTGTTACGAATGACCCCATATTCAGACATTCTTTAAAAACGAGCTTCGAATAAAGGTCAGTAAAGTCCCTCTCATTTAGAGCATTGGAATAAAGTATATCACATCATTGTCTAGCCATATCTACCTGTCAAATGAAATATACTTGTTTGTAAGGCAGCAAACAAAACACCCCTCTCAGCACGTACCACTTCCACTTTGCTTCGTGGAAAAGGGGATGGTGTTGAAATCATTGGAGGCAAGACCCAGGCTGGTCAGTCTTGGCGGTCTGGCAGGGAGGGGCCTGCTACGTCCTCACATTCCCATTCCGAGCGCTGCTCCTCAGGAGACGGCTGCCATCAGTCATCTCACGTAAGGTTGGAAAAAGGCTTGTCTCGCTAGGGAGCAAACTGTTATTTAAGTACACAATCCACTCGACTACTGAAACAGTTTTGCCAAACTTATCCAAGTATTCTCACATGCTTAAAGATGGCATAAATATCATTTACGGCGAGCAGTTTTCTTCAGACTCCATGGAATGCCTTCCTGCCGCCTGATCTAAGTGTCCCAGTTTACATTATGGCCTTTACTGCCTCTGTTTGATGGAGTGATCAGTAAAAATTTAATGACACTATAAAATAATAAAAATGTCATTAATTTACCACGGATCTCGGATACAGTGGTTGTAAAGTTACATTAATAAACAGAATATTTTTTACAACAAAAAGCATTGTTACGTGGGAACTTATAAATAACACACATAAATTTAAGAGCAATTTTACTGTTAGCACACACATTATTATGGAATAGCCAATAAGTGTATAAAACATAGTATATAAAATTTTATTAAAATATACTGTGCACATCAAAAATTCAGCTTTTATCTAAGCGCAAAGAAAAGCCATTATTGTGTGCTTACTGTTTCGTGGCTGTTCTTCCCCCCTATCACAATTTTACATTTGTTGCCAGTAAGAGGAAGTTGATTTTTTTTTTTTTTTTTTTGCCTGGATGGAAACAAACCACTGTTCTTTCAGTTATCCCAAACCCATTCTCTCTCTCCACTGATGCAAAGACAACATTGATCAATCTTGCCATAGGAGGGAGGGAAAAGTTGCTAATATAATGCAAAGTTAAAAATGATGCCTGAGGAGTTGAATGGTCTGTGCAGTGACTCTGGAAATAGGGATAATAATGCAGCAGTCTATCTGTCACCAGTGAGGCTGCCCGCCATTGCCTCGGATAACACGGGAAGGTGATGGATGCCTGGGTCTTGTGGCTTGTAACATTTAACATTCATCAACTCTCACTAAAGGGGGCTTTATCATTTAAATATCTTTATTTAATATGCAACATCTACCTCATACATCATAATTTCAAAGCACTTAGCCAAAGTCCTGCAACATGGCAGAGCTGCCTTTCATTTCTTCCAATAACTTTTATGTTGCCTGCATGTTTGTGGCTGACAATGTTTAAGTGTCTGATCACATAGTTGCATGTCAAATGCACATTTCTCTGTCAATATGGAGATGGGGGGATTTTCCTGGAGGGTTGAGATTAAGTTAGCATGGGGGTGTTTATATTTTGCTTATATCTCCAAAATAATCTTACTTGGGAACTATGTACATTGTGGGAGGTGGTTCAAGTGCATGAACAAAATTTAGAGTGAAGACCTTTTCACCCACAGTTTATATTTGTTCCATACAGGGGCATGCCCATTGGCACTTAAGGGCTAAAAGTTGAAGCCTCTTGTCACTAAAGTATCCTTGAACATCTCTCTGTGCCCACACCCACATCCTGTATTTACTAGACTCATGTTCAACCTCACCAATAAAATCTTTGCTTCACTCAGCTGCCCAGAGCTAACTCGTAGACATCAGGCCTTCTTATCTGATGGTTATGTGGCTGGCAAATAAATATTCTGAGCTATTCTTTGAAGAATAGAAGGAAATCTTCTGGGAGACTAGGTAGAAATGTATATGAAAGGGCATGGCTTGGCGGGGTCCTACTTTAATCTCAAACACAAGTGCTTAATATTACCAAGTATAAAATGCAGCCCACCACCCAGAACAGTTTTTTTCCATTGATTTATTTTCTGTCTATTTAACAAGTATTTCATGGGGTATTCTTCCTTGACTTCTTCCGTGTCAAAATATTGATGTTTTATAAGGAAAGTATCTCTGCAGAAGGATTTTTTCAGTGAAGTCAGAAAAACGCATGGCTTCAGAGACATCGTGAACGTGTTGTCGAATGTTCTGAATTTTTTTTTTGTTATGATGAAAAACAAGCTGATGCTACTGAATTGTGAGCGCACTTCATTTTTTTTTTGAAAAGAAAATATATCATCATCATGTAAGCTTTGTTGTCTTAGGATTTTACAAACCATGGCATGTAATTTTCCCTCTTCTCCTTCCTTGTCAAAATATTGATATTCTTTCAGGAACTTTATTTATTTATTTATTTATTTTTTACTGAGAATATTTTGCAGTAAAATCAAAGAGAATGACTGACTAGAAAGATACTTGGAATATGCATACTGATGGGTAGTAAGGTCTGTTGATTTTCAGAGGAAGTTGTTTCTCTCCTCCCCCCTCTCCCCCCATGAAAATACAGCTAAAGGTTGTTCTTCCAAGAAGATTGCAGGTGTCACATGAGAACTCTTTTTGCATTTAACACAGGGAAAGGGTTCACATACAAATGTCTGAAATTTGAAACAATGTGATAAAACAAAGGTTGCATATTTAGCTTTCCCTGGTACTATTCATCTCCACTGTAACTCTCTTCCTTTACACCAGGGCAAACAAGCGTGCTCTTCAAAAATAGAAATTGGCTAATTAAAAGCAGCTGTCTTTGCCCTGGCCAGTTTGGCTCAGTGGATAGAGCGTCGGCCTGCAGACCAAAGTGTCCTGGGTTCAATTCTGGTCAAGGGCACGTACCTCAGTTGCAGAGTCCTCCCAGGCCTGGGCCCTGGTTAGGGCGCATGCAGGAGGCAACCAATCGATGTGTTTCTCTCACATGGATATTTCTTTCTGTCTTTCCCTCTCTCTTCCACTCTCTCTAAAAATCAATGGGAAAATATCCTCGGGTAAGGATTTAAAAAAAAAAAAAAAAAAAAAAAAAAAAGCTGTCTCCCTCTGACAACATGTGAAACCACCGCATGGCTTCTGGGTGCATTTTGGCATTTTGTTGTGTCTTGTGTCTGAGTCAATTTGTTCTTGCGTAGCACTGTTTTTACCTACAAAGATATGGGGAACCATACCTAATTTGCTTTTTATTTTCATTCTTTTCTAAATTAATATTTCAGAGGTTTCCCTACATTGTAACTAGTTAGTATTGATGACCCAGTTGGTGAAATTCATGATTATAATTTTGTTGCACATCTTTCATAGAAACGGTGCTAGGTTAAAGCAAGGTTTATGCTGTGTTTTCTTCCAACACAAATTTCAACACATCCCATGCTGGAGGGGAATTGGAAGATTTCCTGCGCAATTTGACTGATGGGAATTAATTATAGAAATATAATGATATTCAAAAATAATCATATTAGAAAGCACAAACGTAGTGAGACTGTACAAATAAGAGACAGCCTCTATCAAGTAATTGTATGTTTGCTCTTTAAGAATATCTCCAAGTTTCTAAACATCTTACAGAAGGGAGCACTCGGAGTATTTCCATCTAATACCAAACATGCTCAGTCCAGAACTAGGTCATTGAACAATAGACTGCACAGCAATCAGCACTCGACTGCTGCATAATGCATTAAGTATAACATGCAGAAACCATTCCCGGAGCTGCAAGCTGCTACTTCATGTCTGTAAATTCAAGCTGACATGACATTTAATATTGTTTCGTAGTAATGAACAACAAGGTTTCATTCATTCATAAGCACAACACAAAGCCATAACACAAAGTCTGGAGTGTATCAAGGAGGCGAGAAGGCGACACGGGCTGTTTCCGTAGATGATAACACCCTATTAATGATGGCCAGTGAGCCCTCTGCCACCGATCTGGAGAGCTGCGAGGGGGAGTTCGTTGTGGCATTTCAGACTCCCGCTTCTAGAGAACCAGTTAAGGGTTTCCCTCCTATAGCGGCAAGAGTAGTTCACTTTCTTGACTCAATGGCTGGCTAGGAGTAATGTCCTCCTTTGCCCGCCCCAGGAACTTATGGTTGAAACTCCTAGGCAAAATAATAGTGTCAATGCATGCTATCATCTAGTTTGCCTGCTTTGAAATATTTGTTTCTGAAATCCTGATTTGTATTTTCCCAGGAATACCAGTGCCACATATGATCTCTAGGTGGGAACATGCCTCTCCCATTAAATAGCAGTATGTCTGTTTTAAAGGGAACTGCTCTCACAAGTTTGGCACTTTTGTCTGAAACTTCTAGATTGCATTCCTTTTAGATTCCTGGAGCCAACACAACAGCAAGAAGATGCGCAGTGCAGTGCTGGCAGGTTTCCCGTCCCAGGTTTCCTTCCCTTCCAGGTACTGTGGTTTAGAACCGGTCAGCACTGTCAGGGCCAGCACCTGGCTTCCACGGAATCTTCCTGAAAGATGTTCCGAGCCCACGGTGAACAGAAATGATGTTTGCACATCTAAGTTTTGCCCACTAAGCAAGACAGAAACTGGAAGGAAACGTGGCTGTTTGGGAAGCTGAAATAAGACTCTGATTGTTCTTTCCTCTAGGAAAGAACGCGCTTTGAGAACTTGGGGCCCCAGCTAACAGGCAAGTCCAGTGAAGATGGGAAGCTGGGCCCAGGTGTCATCGATCTCACTCGGCCAGAAGATGCAGAGGGTGAGTGGCTTTTCCTGCAGCTCTTTCCTGCTGCCCGGGGTGTTTCTGGAGCTGTGTCTGAGCTATAGGATCTTCATGGCTTTCTTGGAAGTACCAGCTCGGTTTTCTTGGCAAAGCAGAGCAAATGTTAGTCTTCATCATATGTTATAATCGAGGATTTTGAGATGTAGCTAGATCCTATATTACTGGACCCTCAGCAACCCACATACTTCAAGGTGCCATTCTACTTTTAAACTAAAAGGACCCTCTGCCTTCCAATGAACAACAGAATTCTGTTTCAATCACTTCACTGCATTCTTGTTAAAAAAGGAAAAAAGGACAAACCTATAAAGGAGGATTTTTTTTAACACCCCAAATCAAGTGATCCCCAGGTGCAATCAAACAATTTTTGGGAACTAAATGGTGGTTTGAGCAGATTTGGCATAAAATTAATAATGACTTGGGTAAGGCCCATCCTGGGTGTGGGTGCTAACCATGAATCAAGTCTTTGGAAGGCTGGAAGGAGAGACTAGCTTCACTCTCAGTGGGTTTGCCCACAGCACTATCAATGCCTGTCCACCCTTCTGCACTTTCTGTTTGTTTGTTTTAAATGCACAGCAGCAAATCAGCAGAAATTGCTCCCCAGAGGCAGGGTACGATTTATGAGTTAGGCCAGCACTTCAGTAGTGCTGTTGCCTGGTTATTTACTGTGTCATCACAGAGCAGGGGCTGGTTTTCCCGTTAGTTGTTCCTTTTGCAGATTCCCTCCCTCCACTCCCAACAGTCAGGGAAGATTAATCTGTTCTCTTCAGAGTAACACAATACTTCACCTATCTTGGGTCTCAGCTAAAGTCCTTCTTTAGCTTCAGGGATGGAATCCTTTCTATTATCCCTTTTACTGGCAGTATTTGTCCCAGGACCCTAATTCTCTGAAAACGCATGAAGACATTTCATAGCAGCATCTGAACTGGGTGGGCATAGCTTCCGGTGATATTTGGCCATCCCAGGCCATTCAGAACCCCCAGCACAAGCACTAAGGATGGGTAGTGTCAGATGTTAGGAGGCACCTCAGAGGGTTTCCAGAAGACAGACTTTTCATACCATTAGGAGAGACTAATGTTTAGTGATAATCCTTGGGACAAGGTATTAAAATAAACTCTGGTGTGTGTGTGTGTGGGGGGGGGTGCAAACATTTATTAAGCACTTATATGCCACAGAATGTGCTACGTTTTTCACATACATACTATGTTTTTTATTTACACCTCATACAACTCTGTAAAGAAAGTATTATTATTTTTCCCATTTTATAGATGAGAAAATTAAGGCTGAGAATAATTAAGTAACTTGCCATAGGTCACACAGCTAATAAGTGCAGAGCTGCGAGTTGATACCAGGTAGCCTTGGCTCTGGTACCCCAGCTCTTAAATACTGTGCTATACTGCACGCCCTATGTACATAGATATATATGTGATGCCTTCATTTTTTGAAAAAACCTCTTGTGACCTTCTTCAGAATGGCCCATTTCCTCTTCCCTAAATATAGCAAGTCATGCCCTACACCAGCTCTCCTGTTACTCTGTCACACGTAGCAGCAGTGCCTGCTGAGTGTAATGGTAGAAGGGCTGTTGTGGCCCAGGAGCTTAAGGAGCATGTGCAAAGCTCCCTTCAGAAGTTTGCCCAGCATTGCCATTGAGACCTCATGTGCTTTTGGGGGACTGTGAGTTCATGAATGGAGTCAAGTTACATGCTCTGATTCGGACAGAAGGCAGTGCCTTTGTGAGGACTGCTGGGATGGGTAGTTGCCTTCTGCTGACTTCAGAGTATTTCCTGGAGTCTGCTCAAGTGTGAGCTGACTGCAAAGCCTGCTGGAGTTACAGTTCATATTAGAGTCAGAGTAGATAGCAGGTACACAGAATACTTGCTCCATGTTGCTCCTTTCCCTTAGCAGAAAGAGTAAGAGGGGACTGAAGTGAAAGGAGAGCTAAAACATTTATAAGCTCCTTGTGTCAGCTTGTACTCTTAAAAGCAAGCAAACAAGCAAGCAAACAACTGTTGAGTGCTACTGTGTACCAGTCCCTGAACTAGATAGACTAGACACTGGATAACCAAAGGAAACAAAACAGACATGTTCCTGACCTCTTGGGGTTTAAAGTCTAGTGAAGGAAGACAGAAGAATAAAAGGAAAATGCACACATACATACAGACAGACATAATTATCACTGAGAAAAGTACTAAAAAGGTGAAGACTTCTTTGTGCCCCACAGGGATCCAGAGTGAAAGCTCCGAGGAGAGCTCAATGACAGGTGCGTCTGGTGGCTTCAGCCAGGAATGCCACTCCTTCTCGGTCCATACATGATTGTTTCCATGTTTCTTCTGGCTTTGAACAGAAAAAGTTAATTTTTTTCAGCTTTGTTGAGATATAATTGATATATAACACTGTGTAAATTTAAGGTATACAATGTGATGATTTCATACGTGTATGTAATAGAAATTGATTACCACAATAGGGTTAGCCAACACATCTGTCACATGACATAGTTATCTTTTTTTGTGTGTGTGAGAAAATTTAAGATCTACTCCCTTGACAACTTCATATGTATAATACAGTCTTGTTAACTATAGTCACCGTACTGTACATTAGATCCCCAGAGGTCATTCATCTTACTTCTGGAGTTTGTAACCTTTGACTAAGGTCTATCCACTCTCCCCAGACCCCAGCCTCTGGCAACCACCATTCTACTCTCTGTGTCTACTATGAGTTTGGCCTCTTTCAATTTCACATGTAAGTGAGATCATACAGTCTTTATCTTTTTCTGCCTGCCTTATTTGATTTAACCTAATGTCTTCAAGGTCCATCATGCTGTTGTGAATAGCAGGGTTTCCTTTTTTATGGATGAATAACATTCTACTGTATATCACATTTTCTTCTTTCTAAAATGATTTCTTTTTTAAAATATATTTTAATAATTTTTTTACAGAAAGAAAGGGAGAAGTAGAGAGTTAGAAACATCGATGAGAGAGAACCATCGATCAGCTGCCTCCTGCATACCTCCTACTGGGGGTGTGCCTGCAACCAAGGTACATGCCCTTGACCAGAATTGAACCTGGGACCCTTGAGTCCACAGGCCAACACTCTATCCACCAAGCCAAACCAGTTAGGGCTCACATTTTCTTTATTCATTCATCTGTCAGTGTACACTTAAGTTCTTTCCGTGTCTTGGCTATTGTGAGTAACACAGAACAGCAATCTTTTTTTAAAATTTATTTTTATTTGTATTGATTTCAGAGAGGAAGAAAAAGGGGAGGGGGGAGAGAGAGAGAGAAACATTAATGATGAGAGGGAATCATTGATTGGTTGCCTCCTGCACACCAGATCAAACCTGCCATGTGCCCTGATCAGGAATCGAACCCTGGCCTCCTGGTTCATTGGTCGATGCTCAACCACTGAGCCACGCTGGCTAGGCGCAGAACAGGTACTCTGCCCTCGATCCACTTCTACCCCATACTCCTGTAGGGCTTCTGAGGTGACTAAAGTAAGTCAGCCTGGGAAATCGGCCCTGTTCCAGCCCGGCTTCTGTGGAAAATGTCTGCCCATCCTGAAAACGCCAATATCACTTAGTAAGCAACTTGTAGACCTGCTCCACAGCTCTGAGCATAGGATCTGCAAGGGAAAGGTCATCTAAACAGGCAGCTGTGCGTGTGTATTAACCACTCATCAAAATCAAATGACAAAACGATAAGCCAGGAAAACAGAAATTAAAAATATAAAAGGCAAATGCCTTCAAAATTTTATTTTTAAAGTCCAGCTGTTATTTGGCTTGAATATGACAAGACAGCATTTCTTGTTCACCGTGATATTTATAAAACTACAAATTCATTGGTGCTGGGGGTTTAGGAAACACGTTTAAGGTCTTGTTATTCTTTGAAGCAGTTGAAGACTTTATATGTTTTGAGCAACAAAATTGGTTAGCTCTTATATGACACATGCAAGGAGGAGAGGTCTCGATTAGCTGAGACTGTCACCATGTATTAAGAATGACAAACAGCCCTAAACGGTTTGGCTCAGTGGATAGAGCGTCGGCCTGTGAACCAAGGGGTCCCAGGTTCGGTTCCGGTCAAGGGCATGTACCTTGGTTGCGGGCACATCCCCAGTGGGGAGTGTACAGGAGGCAGCTGATTGATGTTTCCCTCTCATCAATGTTTCTAACTCTCTATTCCTCTCCCTTCCTCTCTGTGAAAAAATCAATAAAATATATATTTTAAAAAATGACAAACAGCTGTTTAACTTTTTATAGACTTTTCATATAGCATTTTCCCTCACCTTGTTCTCTTAAGGCAAGAGTGCAATTCTTATCCCAACTCTCCTAATTTTAAGGTTGCAAAGTACAGTAGAAAGGGCTCTGGTCCAATTATTGGGATATTTGGAATTAAGCTCTTTTGCTAAATAATGGCAAACAAGGGACTAATTCCTCTGGGTTTAAGTTTTATCTTTTGTTTTTTATTATATTATTTATTTTTATTTTATTTTTTGGATCACCATTTATCCCTTCCATGCTCTTTTCACCTCCACCTTCCCTCCACTACTACCCTCAACACCCCCCCCCCCACACACACACATACACATACACACCACCACCACCACCACCACCACCACCACCACCACCACCACCACCACCAGTACTGTCTGCCTGCTCTCTATGAGTCTGTCTCTATTTTGCTTGGTAGTTCAGTTTGTTCATTAAATACCACATATGAGTGGAATAATATGGCACATTTTGTATCTTTTAAAAGAGGTATGTTGAGTTCCATTATCTCCACGGTCCTTCCAAACCCAAGATGTCATTAGGGTATTCATAAAACAGAGTGTATGTTTCCTATAAGAAAGGTGGTCTTTCCACACTACTTCCATGGAGTTTCCCCCGCCCCCCAGAAAAATAAAAGAGGAGATCGGTACCTTCAGGAGTACATGTGCCACTGGCTGAATCAGGTTTTCATGTCCATCGATCTTATCTTCTTGTTGAT